TAAAAAACAAGTAGAGAAATAAGAAATAAAAATATAAGCAAGGTTTGAGGGATGAGGAATCTCCTTAAAACCATCAGGAAGATGGATATTTTGTGATGATTGAGGGCAAAATATAAATATACAACTATACATATAAAATAAAATTAAGGTATATAGAAAAAAGTGTAAATAGAAAATGTCTAGAGACATTCTCAATCCAGGTAGAATTTGTGTAGAATTTGAAAGCCACAATTCAAAATTTCAAGTCATGCAATAAAAAAAGAGATATCAAATGATGTAATTCTGGAATATAGATTATAAATTATATATATTAAAATCAATAAAATATAAGAGATAGAAAGGAACACATTAAAAAAGAAGTTAGTGCCTGAGATTTGTGTGATGGGAGGAAGCCAGAAAAATTTGGAAAAGTCACAAATAGGAATTCTAGAAATTAAAACAAAATTATTTAAATGAAAAGTCAGTGGATTGATTGAAGAACCAGATTAGAAACCTTTAGGGAGAAAGTAATTGAGTTGAAAGAACAATTGAAGAAAAGAGAAACTGTAGAAACTAGAAAAGATACTAAGACATGAAGGATAAATTTTCCGGGATGGAAAGATAGGGAAATGAGGACAAGTAATATTAGAAGAGACCAGAACTGATTATACTCAGGATTGATGACACATATGATACTCAGATACAAGAAGAACAATTCATCATCATCAGAAAACATACATTTAATAAACATCTGGCTCATCATGGTAAAACTATTTCAAATTCTTCTCCTGTTTTTTTTTTTAAACCAATCACATTGGATGTTTGCCTTAGTAACACTCAAACTATTCCCTACTTTGTAAATCCATTAATAAATTCTCATCTTACTCAAGGTAGCAGCAGCATTAGACACAGTGGTTCACTCAGGCCTCATGGAAAGCTTTTCTTCACTTGGCACCCAAGGCAATACATATTCTTGGTTTTTATTTCTGTCTCCTTGCTATATCTTTCTGTCTTGTTTGCTGAATTCACCTTTCCCTCTTTATCTCTGAGTGCCACAAGGCTCAGTCCTTGGACTTCCTCTTTTTCACATCGAATTTCCTTGGTGATATTATCAGTCCCTTAGTTTCAAGCACCACATATATGCTGAAAACCCCAATTTTATACTTTCCAGACCAAATCTCAAAATTTAACTCAGGACTTAGATATCTGAGTTCCTATGCAACAGCTTCAGCTGTATGTTTAATAGATAAATCATGCTTGACATGTCCAATCAGAAAACAAACGTCTGACCACTCTGCCCCACATCTACCTCATGTATAATCTTTCCCAACTCATTTAATGGAAACAAAATGCTTCCTGTTGGTCAAAGCAAAAGTCATGCTTCATCCTTGACTTCTGCCCTTCTTTCTCAGACCACATTCTATGTTAGAGTCCTATTAACACTAACTTCAAAATAGGCCAGAATCCAGTCACTTCTCACCACTTCCACTCTTTACAGTGGTCTAAGCCACCATCATCTCTTGCTTGGATTATTTTAAGGGTCTCCCTATTTCTGACCTTATTCTGTATTTCACTTCAGCAGCCAAATTGACACTATTAAAATATAATCAGATCATGTTATTCATCTGTTCAAACCTAGCTAAAGCCTTAAAAAGCCTGGTTGATCTGAGCCCTGTTACCTCTTGCATCTTATCATCTAGTACCGTATTTTCAACCTTTTTTTTCATTATTGTCCTCAACCCACTAAGGAGCCATTACAGCCATATTTTCTTAGCCTGCCCCATGAAAATTCAAAACCAAAAATATACTACACCTCTCTTTATGTACTTTATGTATATTTGTGCTTTATATATAAAATGAATAAGATTTTTTTCACTGTCCTCCAGATCCCATTTTTGTCCCCTTGTCAGTGATATCAGCTTGTTGAGAGTGCATGCTCTAACACTGTTTAATTTCCTGAGGAATGATAGCTAAACATTTCCGTTGTTCTCGACACAAAATGAAGAATGATAAAAAATAATTCCATTTTATACAAACTAGATCATTTAAATTTAATAAATTATTTCTTTTGATGTTCATATGTCATTTAACTTGTGTTTTAAAAGTCTACTTTTTATGCTATCACCATTTTTTAGGTACTGAAATTTTCAAAAATTACCTTTGTTTTCCCCCTACATAGTTAGACTTGGGCTTTTGTCGTTTACAACAAAAATTCCTATTAAAACATAGAGAATTAGTGGGGCTGGCCCCGTGGCCGAGCGGTTAAGTTCGCGCGCTCCGCTGCAGGCGGCCCAGTGTTTCGTTGGTTCGAATCCTGGGCGCGGACATGACACTGCTCATCCAAACCACGCTGAGGCAGCGTCCCACATGCCACAACTAGAAGGACCCACAACGAAGAATATACAACTATGTACCGGAGGGCTTTGGGGAGAAAAAGGGAAAAAAATAAAATCTTTAAAAAAAAAAAAAACATAGAGAATTAGTTACAAATGGAGGATGAGTCAATGAATAATATAATGAATAGTAATTTCATAAATCAATCTCTGCCATGGTGACTTAGTTCAATATTGTTTAATGTTTTTTTCTTTCCCAGAGACATTTATTTTTATCAGAAGACATCTAAATAATTTATTTATGAGTAATAAAATTGAATGCAGGAATTTTAAGAAGAAAGGCAGAAGAATTGAGAAAAAAAAATTGGGTCTTGATCATCGTGAGAGTTACCATAAGTTGAAAATGGAGTCATTCTTCAGAATAATTAATGACAAATTTCACTAAATATCTATTGTTTATGGGATTATGATTTTAGAATTTTTTCCACTATAATAGAAATGACATATGAAAGTATGAGGAAAAGAAGTGTGAAATCTCAAAATTTAGCAACCTTGTCTAAAAGTAGAACTTAAACTTCTAAGATACTCTCAACAAAACCGAAGTTTTTAGTGTTTGTGATTGAGAGGAAGCAAGTTAACAGCATGAAGCGGTCAAGTATGTCTCCCTGATATCTTTTAGAATAGGGAAACAATTTCTCAGAGGCACTGGCCAATGTATAAACTAAATGACACATTACAAACTCAAAGTCTCCGGTATTCTGATGGTGGGTGAGGTGATAAACTGTCTTCAAAATAGCCCACGTGTAAGAATTTCCTGTTCAAACTTGAAGTGACACACTGATGAGAAATCTACTTTTTCTGCTATTGCTTCACTCTGAGCCTTCTCAGAGCCGTCCGTGAAGTCCGCAGATATCGTTTGTTACAAGAGTAACCTGGCCTCCCACTAGAGGATACACGACTCTCTGGGCAACAGAAGGTATGTGATGCTACTCTCCTGTCTCTCTACTAGCTCAACTCAATTAGTGGGGGATTACCAATGCTAGAGATGATGCAAAAGTTCATATATAATCAAATCAAAAAGAACATTAGTGTCTTTATTTGAATAATTAAGGATAAAAAACAAACATAAAAACATGAAATAAGTTGGAGGATTTCTTAAATATCGAAATTCTTGCCTGTGAATGATTAGTCAAGTGCGTATACACATGCATATTTGGATTTGTAAATCAATTAATTTAAAGTGAAATCTCCTAAGGATCATGACACTGAACAGTTAATTTTGGATTTTGTAATCAGTATAGATATTATTTTATACATTTTTTTATATTTAGCCCAGGCTTTAAAAATAGATTCTTAAAATGCATTCATCCAATCGTGAAGGTGAAATGTAACCCATTGGTACATTTACTTAGATTAAATACAGTAGTTTGACTTTTAGTAAAAATCACTGTGAGCTAATTTCCATAGTATGCTAATTTAAACTTAAGTGTAAACTATCAAATGTTTGAACAAAACATTGCAGAAAAAGGTATACCACACTGATAAAGAGAATCCTGTCTAAAGAATTAAGTTAGACTGTCTAACTGATAAGGTTCACAAATAATAGACAACTGTGTTAAAATAATAATTAAAATAACTAGCACGTTATTGAGAGCTTATAAAGGCCAGATTGAGTATTAAGTGTTTTGCATGCATTACATCGTATATATTTTTGTTCCCATTTTAGGTTAGTAAATGAAGTTGCTAGAAACTAAGTAACTTTTTATAGGTCACATGTTGTAAGTTTCCAAACCAGAATTGATTCCAGATCTTACTGACTAACGAGCCCCTTGTCTGAATTATTAAATTAAATTCTCTGATTAATCACAATTGCTTACACAATTGAAGCTACCCTCTGATTTCACAGCCATAAGATCCTTCTGGAAGCTTGCACCAACAGTGTGCTTCCATAAATCATCTACACTTTTATCGATCTTTTATAGTTTCATATCTTAGTCATTAAATCAATTGCCAATTACATGTGTATATTTAAAAAATATGTTGTTTTATTCTTAATATTTACAAGGTTTTGGGCAATTTTGGAGACTAAAATTTATAAATGTAAACTTTATAAAATATATCTTTGAAATTTTAATATTTTCTCAGAACTCCATGGTCAAAATAAAGTTTAATTGGTAACACCTCATCCCCTTTCAATAAATAAATGTGAGTCACTAAATAAAATTAATTTAGTGCAGGAAATTACTGTGTATGCTAATACCATTATTTCCTCAACTTTAGAACACAATCTTTAACCATTAATGAATTAAAAATTGTCATAAAAATTGCTGCATCATTTTTCTTCCAACATGGCATTTTAATTTTAACAGTTATTCCAATAGTGTTAAATTGTGTCCGTAGAATCTGACTTTAAATTAATAAGGACATTATTATCCATCATCTTCTTTATTCCACACTAACTGATTGCTTTTCATTGCTCCAACCAATAACATTGTGTGAAACATAGAATATCGTTTAAAAACTATTCTATCATAAAACACTTATTTAAAGCTTTAAGTCACCTGAAATTAATATTATGTTGGATGTCAATTATACCTCAATGAAAGTGAATAAATAGAGCTCTAAGGAAACTAGACTTTTACATTGTTCAAATGCAAATGAGTACTATTACTCACTTCACACTCCACCCATTTAACTATACTATCAATCTTGTCATTATATACACCATTGATTAACTACTTAAGATCAGTTATCATAGAACAAAGTCCCTGTCATTACTCAGCAGCAGAGATGAATGACCAAAGAGAAGACTACGAAGAACTGAATTCTGTTAAGGACCCAAGAAGATGTCAAATGAAAGGTAAGGCCACTAAGCTCCATTTCAGTAACTGAACAGGAAATCACTGATGTGGAGTTAAACATTGGAAATGCTTCTCAGTATCTCCAATGGAATGATAAGAACAACTGCTGCAAAGTAAAACATTTAGTAGACATACAATATAACTGTTCTAGGGTGTGCAGCTGGGGCACAGAGGTGTGAGGAAAGAGTAGAAAATAATATTTTTCATTTGTGAGGATCAGAGACTGAAATTGGAATATGGTATTCTAATATAAAATCTGAGGACTAATTTTATTTAGGCATTGTTAAAATTTGTAGTGTTTGACCAACAACTTGTAGAGCCTTATATTCACTGAAAATGCAATAGAATATATTCTGAGAGAGAGATTACAATGGTAGATATGGGTTTGGGTTCCAAGTATAAATATCTGATTCCCTTAGCATTTGTATGTAAACTGTATGAAGAATTATCTCCATCTTTCCTTCCTCAGTGTTTCTATTTGTCTCCCTGCAGATTTGCCATCACCTCCGGAGAAGCTCATTGCTCTGATCCTGGGAGTCATCTGCTTTATCTTGATGTATATTGTAGTAAAAATGATGCTCTTCGTTCCCTGTAAGTAAATTTTTGAAAGATTGTAAGGGAACTTTCACCTTAATGATGGTCAATGACTCTATACATTTCACAATATTGAGGGATAGAATTCGTATTTTAATGAATGAATTTAGACTGAATGTGGAAAGATTATGCTGAATTCGTCAAATTATAAATAACAGAATGATTTTAGAGAGTACTATACATGAATATATATGCCTATATTTTGACTTCTCACCTCAAAGATGTGTTTTAGGAGACTGAACGATCTTACTGAGAAATATAATTTAATTTTTGTGATTAGTTAAACCAAATATTGTAAAAGATGGTGAAGTTGGTCCTGAAAGCTTTTGAAATATTTTTCCCTCGATCTTTATTACTTTATTATTTTTTGGTGTAATTATATTTTTCCAGATTATTCTAATTCTAAATTATAAAACAAATTTCAAAGAAAGAAACTAAAATTATGATTTATTTAGATCACTATTAATTTTTATGATGATTACTTTAATATTTCTAGCTACTGTAATCCTGGAGCAGAACGATTCATCCCTGATAGCAAAGAACCAGAAAGGTATATAATGATTTTCAAAGTTCTGATATTACTATAGTTTTTATTTTGTCTCTGTCTTACGCTGGTTAAAAATCATAGATTTTTGGGGGGAAAGTGAATTACAAAATAAGGTAATAAATGTTCATAAAAAGTTATTATAGGAGAGTATTCCTTCTTATGCCACAATATGAAGATGTATTCATTTAAAATCATCATACACATTGTTGCCAATTGGCTCAAATTTTCTATTGATAAGAGATAAATAATTTTAATATGCTAAAAAAGTGGTTTCATTCATTGAATTTCAAGGCATTTATAGAGTGGATATTTTTGTTTGTGTGTTTGTTTTATGTGAGCTTATAAATTAGAGCATGAGAGGCTGACCATGTCTGTAAGTGTGTGTATGAGTGTGCTTTGTTTTATATGTACAAGCCTGTGAGGGTGCATAGATATGCTATGTACATATATGTTTCTACCTATGCAGAATGTAAGTTAGCTTTCATTTTTAAAATTCAAATTATTTTGCATAACAATTCATAATATTTCTTCAGCATGTAATTGTCGTCATTATCCGAAGAAGTGGATCACATATTCCAACAATTGCTATTACATTGGTAGTGAAAAAAAAGCGTGGAATGAGAGTTTGATGGCCTGTGCTTCCAGGAACTCTAATCTGCTTTATATAGACAATGAAGAAGAAATGGTAAGATTTTAAATGTTTCATATACTTTATTACAGGTTTATTTCAGTCAATATTATATTTGCAGAATTCATCCATATTTTTGTACATATTGTAGGTTAAGTTAAATTCTGCAATACTCCTTTGTTCGACCTTATGATATTTTATTTATATTTTTATATTACTAATGTACATTTGATAATTTCCAGTTCTTACTGTTCATAGAAAACCAGGTTTCTATAAATGTTTTTTTCTAAAATAAATTTTGCCTTTTAATTTTACCATCCACCAATGAAATTAAACATATCATGATTGCACAGATTGATCACAGGTGAATATAATCATGTTATAACAAATCAAATCTCAAAATAGAAGTTTCCAGCCCTCAGCAGCCCCACCTCGGGGTGCACTCTTAGCACTTCTCATTTCTCCTTATTTAACGGCTGCCCTGACTTTTGCGATCACAGAATCTCCTCGATTAGTTCAACTTCATGTTAATCGTATCACACAATGTGCATTTTTCCTCCTCTCTTTTCACTCCCCTATGATATTTTTGCAATTCATCCATATTATTGCATTTATCTGTAGTTTGTTAGTTTTCATTGCTGAATTATGTGAATGCAAAATTTTGAAATCCGTTCTATCCAATGTCCCTGGCTGGGGACATGAGTCTCATGCCCACAGGGATAAAAAGACTTCCCAGCATGAGTACTTTACTACCTTTGCTGGTCCCACCTCCACCCCTCTGCACTCTCTCACACACCCTGGTGTCTCTTGGTGGGGGAAGAGAAGCACTTCCTCTGGCTTCTGGTTATTAGCGGGTTTCCTGATCCATTACGCTTCTAAGGCTTACCTAGTGTTGCTGGACAGGATTTGTTTCAACACAGTGGAGGAATGGCTTCCTATTGCTGGGTTGGCTGCTGGGAAGCAGTGGCCTAGGTCACTTCCTTCTGTTGGATGCGGGATATAAGATGTCCTATCACTCTGTTGTTCCTGAATCCCAAGGTCTCAATCCATTTTGTCTTTCTCTTTTCATCTTTCAGATTTCTTCTTTAATTTTGTTTTCCAGTAGTTCCTGAATTTATAGTTGTACTCAGCAGGGAGTAGCCAGGAGAAATTAGCCTATGACACCTTGTCTGGACAATAAGATTGTATAAATATAGAAACAGATCGATTTGAGGCTCAGAATTATGTGGAGCCCAGAAAACCAAATTTTAGGCTTTTATGTCATTTATTTCCCCAATGGTAATCCAACAACTTTCTTCTAATTGAGAAATATAGTAGAAAAAACATTGATATAATCACAATATTTGAAGAAATTAATATCACAGTATCTGGAAACTTATTTAAAGCCTTGCTATGTTACTTTTGTCAACATTTGTATCTATTAAATTACGTGAATTGGAACTTTCCTTATTATCATAAGAAGAAAATGAAATTACTAATTATAAGTGTTTCAGTGTTAATTTTAAGCAAAACTACAATGACGAAAGTTTTTGGCAAAATGAAAAATCCTTTTCAACTTATATCTTTGGCATTTGATTAAAATCTAACACTCTCATTTCATTCTGAAAATTAAAGATCCTATGAAAGAATAAACTATTTGCAGGTTAACAAATAATAAAAGCTTTTTTAGTGATTATTTAAGTAAAAGTTCTTTATTTTGGGGTAGAAATTTCTGAATTCCCTATCACTTCTATCATGGATTGGAGTCTTTCGTAACAGCAGTGATCATGCGTGGATGTCAATAAATGGCTCAACTTTCAAAATGAAGTAAGTTGTTTTTAATAATGCTATATAGAAGAAGAAAATATAAAAAATGAAAAATTCAGAACAATAATAGTAATACATTTGTTTAAGTTGAATTATAGATATGAAGAAAGATGTTGAAAAGTAATGAAATGTTGATATAAATGTTAAAAAATGGATTCCTCAGTTTTCCTAATAATCAATTCTTACTAAATGTCATATGAAAAATGTCATTATCCATTTTCAAAATATACTTTTATTATAGTTACCCAGAAAATGTTATTGTTTTATGGATTGTCTCCATACCATATAACAACTGAATTATGCATTTTTCCATTACAGCATAACAGAATCATCATATGGTAAACATAACTGTGCTTTCCTATACTCATCTGGCCTCAAAGCAGAAAGTTGTGGATCTCCAATTATATATAATTGCAAGCATAAGCTTTATAATGGAAACACCTGAGTTTGGATTCTGTTGGATAACTTTCAATTTCATGAAATGGAAATAATATTATGATTGCATAAGACTTAAAATGAATTATATTATTTGTTTTATTAATGAAAATTTTTTCAAAAGCAATGATTGGAATATAATATTCATAACAAAAAGTACAAGCATCTTTATATTGTGTCTGGCTTTTTTTACTCAACATTATATTTGTGGCATTCAGACCTTTTTAAAGCTCGCATGTTTTATGAGTCCACTTATATGAAATATCAAGAATAGGCAAACCTATAAGACACAGAAAGAGAAATAAAACCACAATGATCATTCTTTATTGTCTTTTTTATAAAAATCAGTGCTTATGTTATATTTACATTAACATATTTTTCTTCATTCATGTTCCCAAAGGGATTAGACTGAATTTTCATTTATAGCTACATACTTGACAGATTTTGTTGTTAAGGCTATTTTGGGAAGCATTTCTCTTTTTCTGTTACGTGGAAGACTTTGTGTAAGAGTACTGTTATATTTTCAAGTGTTATTATTCACTACTGATACCATCTGAGCTTGTAGATATTTTTGTAAAAAGGTTTATATAAGGAATCCAATTTCTTTAATGCATGTTAGTTTTACTCAGGCTTCTGTTTGTTGTAGGGCAATGAATAATTTCCATTTTCTAGGTATTTTCTATTTCATACAGATATTAAAATGTATTTATTATATGGTTTTATTATGTGTTTAATGTTATAATGATACTCTCATGTTTAATCTAGATATAAAAGATTTATGTTTTATCTACTTTTTTCTTCAACGGTCTTTTATCAATTTTATTAAGTGTTTGCAATGAGAATAACTTTGGCCTTGTTGATCCTCTCTACTGTAATTTTGTTGTGTCTTGATAGTTTTTTTCTTTTGCTGAAGAAGATTCACCCTGAGCTAACATCTGTGATGATCTTTCTCTATGTTTTAGTACGTGGGCCCCCAGCACATCATGGCCACTCACAGAGTGGTGTATGTCCACGCCTGGGAACCAACCGAACCTGGGCCACTGAAGCAGAGTGCGCCAAACTTAACCACTAGGCCACTAGGGTTCCCCGTGGTAATTTGTCACTATTTATTGTTTTCTTCCTTGTACTTCATTTGGACTTAATTTCCTCTAATTTTAGCTTTCCTGTTTTTAGTTTCTTGTGATGCATGTTCTCATTTCTGCCTTTCTTTTTTCTTTTTTTGTAAGATATGCAGTTAAGGCAATCAATATTTCACAAGACGGATCTCTCTGTAATTCATATAAAAATTGTAAACATTTATTGTGATTAATTATTTGGCTCATATGTTATTTAGAAAAATGTTACTGAATTTCAAACTGTATGTTAGGAGTTTTCAAAGTTTTGGTTATTGACATTTATTTTTGGTTAACTCTAGTTAGAGAATTTTCTGTGAAGCTGGTAATGTTCCATCTCTGTTTAAACATAGCTAGTGTGACTAAGAAACTGATCTTAAAATTTTATTTATTTTTAATGAATTAAAAATTAAATGTGAATACCCACATTTCAAGTGCACACTTGCCAAACTTGACTAGCAGCTCCTGCCATGACACCACAGTTCTGTTTATTTTATATTAAAGTGCTTAGAAATATGAGTATACAGTGTATTTTTGGAAAATTGCCATGTGAAGTTAAATATATGTGTATTCTATATTAGTATAATGTGTGTGCGTGTGTGTCCATATATATAGTGGTTAATTATCTGGTTTAAATCTTTATTACCTTACTGGTATACCTGTTTGATAAACAGTGAGAGAAAATGATTTAAAGCTCCATTCATGACTTTTCACTTCCCAATTTCTTGAAATCTATGTTGAACTTATATTATTAGGAACATGTGGATTTAAAACACATCACTAATGGTTTGGATACTCAATCTATCCTTATGAAACATGTGTCATCATTTCTGACAATGGTTCTTGCCTTCCATTGTGACAGTGCATTAACTATAGCAGTTCTCTACTGGTTTGTGTTGCGCCATGTATTTTTTCACCTTTTACTTTCATCTTTCTTTATGCTTATGTTAAAAGAGTGTCTCATCAAGACAAACATTTTAAATGTAAACACTCTTGGAATTTAAATTGAATATTATTCTATTTTTATTAAATAGAATTATTAAATTATGTAATATAATATTATTGATTTATTTGTGCAAATATGTAGAAGCAATTAACTGTTAAGTATAATGTAGTTTTTTAATTTAGGGTGAACACTACTATTTCTTCAAACTCTACTTTTTCTTTGTTTTATCTTTCACAATTAATTTTGTTTTCACTTTCCTCTTTTAGTATTTATTAATTTAAATGCTTTAGATATTCTTTTATTTGTGCCCTACATTTTTCAGCTTACATTCTTTACTCATTAAAGTCTACCAAATTAGTACTTTTACCCCTTCTCAAACAGCAAAACGATCTAACTGCCCTCTACTTTTGTTTTCTGCTTATGCAATGTGTGCCCCCTTGAATTCTAATACAAATACATATTTCGATATATCAACATAATTCGTTTTCTTCAGCTCTTCTTTCTTTCCGCATATCTAAGTTTTCACTTTGAATAAGAGAAAGGATCGTATTTAGAGGATCCTTAAATATTTCCTTTAGTTACAGTCCCTTAGTAATTAATTTCTCGCTTAAAAGTTTTCTCTTGTGGCTAGCCCTGTGATGTAGTAGTTAAGTTTGGCGCACTCTGCTTCGGCAGCCCAGGTTCCTGGGTTCAGATCCTGGGTGCAGACCGACACCACTCGTCAGCCCTGCTGTGGCAGTGACCCACATACAAAGTGGAGGAAGATTGACACATAAGTTATCTCAGGGCTAATCTTCCTCTAGCAAAAAAGAAGATTCTCAAGAGATCTTAGGTTGGGGCTAATCTTCCTCAGCAAAAAAAATAATAATAATAATTAAAAAAAACAATTTTCTTGAAAATGAATTTGCCATCATATAAAAGGACATTTTCACTTGTTATTGACTTCCAATTTATCCATCTCTCTTAGGTTACTAGGTATAGCCATTATTAGAATTAGTCACTATATATATGTATCATATATGATATATATTTATATATTTATATATTCATTGTATATGATATATATATATAGATTTATATCATAAAAAGTACATTATAATTGATCTTATTATTTTGAGTAATTTTTATTGTGGCTTTATATTGTCTGAGCATAAATTTCATTGAAGTTAAATGCCAGGAAGTGAACACATACTTCTACTTTTGTGTATACCTACATACATTTATATATAACGTTATTTAGTCTAAAATAGCAAAGTGTATGACTATAGGAATAGTAGATATAAGTACTTCAAATTTAAAAAGGTAACATTAGTGAACTTTACGTTGTTTGATATCATTAATGAATACTTTGTTACAATTCTGTAATGTGGCTAATAGAAAAGGAGAGATTATCAATTTAGTTTTTGAAAAAATAATAAAATATGATAGAAATACACAGATAGCCAGCCATCATTAGCCATTTTTATAGAAGGCTCAAATATTAGTCCAGATTACTAGGACATAACTATGGATTTAATTCCATTTTTCTAGATATTAAAAAGTTAGTTTGAGATTGTCTGAACTCAACCTCCTAGTGACTGTATTGAAAGTGGATTTCCATATAAATGATAGGCAAACATTCTCCCTTTTCTTGATACAAGGTGAAGAATGATGAAAAGAATTCCATTTGATACCAACAAGATCATTTATATTTAACGTTTTATTTCTTTTGATGCTTGTGTCATTTAACTTGTATTTTAAAAGTCTGCTTTTTGGTCCTCTCATTTTTTGGTTACGTGAAATTTTAAAAAATTATCTTTGTCTTCCCCTTACATGGCTAGACTTCGGCTTTTGTCATTTACTACAAATATTCTTATTAAAATACAGACAATTAGTTATGATTGTAGGATGTATCAATGAATAATATAGTGAGTAGTTATTTAATATCTCAATCTCTGGCATGGTGATATTTTTCCATATTTTAAATGTTTTATCCTTCCCAGAGACAATTATTTTCATCAAGGGAAATCTAAATAACGTATTTAAAATAATAAAATTAAATGTAGGTAGTTTAAGAACTAGGGCAGAGAATTGGAGAAGATACGTTTGGGAACCAATGTCTTTGCAACAGTTACAATAAGGTTGAACATATAGTAATTCTTCAGAATAATTAGTGACAAATATCATTAAATATACACTGTTAATGGGATTATGATTTAAGAAATTTTTCCATGATAATAGAAATGACATAACAAGGGTATAAGGAAAAGAAGTATGCAATGCCATATTTTAGCAACTTGTCTGAAAGTAAAATTTAAACATCTCAGATACTCTCAACAAGACCTGGGTTTTCAGTCTTTGTGATTGAGATGGAAGCAAATTAACAGCATGAGGTGATCAAGTATCTCTCCCCTGATATCTTTTAGAATATGAAAACAATGTCTCAGAGGCACTTACTAATGTACAAACTGAATGACTCACTACAAGCTCAAAGTTTCCTGTATTCTGAAGGTGTGCGAGGACATGAACTGTCTTCAAAACAGCCCAGGTGTAAGAATTTCCTGTTCAAACTTTAAGTGACACATTGATGAGAAATCTGCTTTCTCTCCTATGGCTTCACTCTGCATCTTCACCAGGCAGTGTGTGAAGACCGCAGATATTGTTTGTTTACAGGAGTAACCTGGCCTCCCCCTACAGGATGCACCACTTTCTGGCTAACAGAAGGTATGTGTGGCTACTCTCCTGTCTCTCTACTAGCCAGCTCATTTAGTGGGAGATTACAAATGCTAGATATGATGCAACTGAGGTACAGTGAGTATACAATCAAATCAGAAAAAAACATTGGTATCTTTATTTGAATAATGCAGGTAAAAACAAGAATAAAATAAAAAATATGTAGGAGGATTTCTTAAAATATTCAAATTCCTGCCTTTGAAGGATTAGTTAAATGCATACACACATGCATAATTGGGTTTGTAAATCAACACAACTAAAAGTGAAATCTTATAAGCATCATGACAATAAATACTTAATTTTGGATTTTATAATCAAAATAGATATAAATAGATATTATTTTTAATTAGCCTAGCCTTTAAAAAAAGATTCTTAGAATGAATTCATCAAATCATGAAGGTCAAACGTAATTCCTCGTATACGTACTTAGATTAAATAAAAGCAGTTTTATTTTTAATCAAAATCAGGATGAGTTACCTTCTGTAAAATGCTAGTTAAAAGTTAACTATAAACAAACAAAAATTTTTTTAAGTTACACAAAATAGTTCAAAAAAGATACACCACACTGATAAAGCGACTCCTCTCTCATGAATTATGTTACATGGTCTCATTGTTATAGTTCAGAAACAATAACATAGCAATTATGTTAAAACAATAATTAAAATAATAAGCATATTATTGAGATCTTATAGCAGCCAGATTGAGTAATATGTGTTTTACATGCATTATATATTAGATATTTTTATTCTCATTTTAGATTAGTAAACCAGGTTGTTAGACACTAAGTAACTTTTTAAAGGTCGTACATTGCAAATTTTAAAACCAGAATTAATTCCAGATCTCACTGATTGTAGAGCTCATTGAGTGAATTATCAAATTACATTACCTGATTTATCACAACTGTTTGCACAACTAAACTACTCTCACTGACTTTAACAGCCATGGGATCTTTCTGGAATTTTGAAGCAACAGTGCTCTTCCATAAATGATCTACACTTTTATTTATCATTTTATGATTTTGCATCTTTGCCATTGAATCAATAGGCCATTTCTAATGTCAAATAAATATTTAATTTTTTTTGTTTTCAATATTGTTTAGGTTTTGAATAGATTTAGTGTGTCATCTAACATTTTTCAACATATAAAATGTTTCCTTATAATTTTAATGACTTTTCACATCTGCACAATCATTCAAAATAAAAGATGATGTGATAGTATCTCATCCTCTTTAATAAATAAATGTAAGTCACTAAATTTTAGTGCAGGAAATTACTATATATGCTAACACTACTATTCCCCCAACTTATTAACACTCAATTTTTAACCATGAATGGATTTAAAAATTGTCATAATGATTGGTGCATCATTTTTTTCTTAATACGGCATTTTAATTTTAACCCAATATTCTAATAGTATTAAAATGTTTCTATGGAATCTGACTTTAAGTTACAAGGATGTTATTATTCATGAACTTCTATATTTCTTACTAATTTATTGCTTTACATTTCTCCAACAAATAGCATTGTGTCAAACATATAATATTATTTTGAAAACCACTTCTACTATCACGAAACACATGTTTAAAGTTCTAAGGAAATTAGAACCACACTTTTACATTGTTCATCTGCAAAATGAGTACTATTACTCATCTCACACCCCACCCCTTTAGGTATACTAGGGATCTTATGATACACACCATTTATTAACCACTTAAGTGCAGCTTTCATAGAACACTGTCTCTGACATTACTCAGCTGTAGAGATGAATAACCAAAGAGAAAACTACGCAGAATTGAATATGGTGAAGGACTCAAGGAGACAGCAAATGAAGTCTAAGGGCACTAAAAGCTCCATTTCAGTATCTGAACAGGAAATAACTTATGCGGAATTAAACTTTCAAGATGCCTCTCGGGATCTTCTAGGGGATGACAAGAACGACCACTGCAAAGGTAAAACATCTAACAGACACACAGTATAACTGCTCTAGGATGGGCAGCTGGGTGCAGAAGTGTGGGAAAAGGGAATAAGCTCACCTAATTTTTATATGTGAGGATCAGAGCTTGAAGTTGGAATATGGCATTCTAATACGACATCCGAGGACTAATTTCATTCAGGCATTGTCAAAATTTCTAGTTTTTGACTAACAGCTCACGGAGCATTATGTTTACAGAAAATGCCATGGAATATTCTGAGAGAGAGATTACAATGGTAGATGTGAGTTTGGGGTCCGAGTTTATATGTATGATTCCTGTGCATGTGAGTTCCCTTGTATGTAGTCTCCATCTCTCCTTTCTCAGTGTTTTCATTTTTCTCTCTGCAGAGTTACCATCACCACCGGGGAAGCTCGTTGCTGGGATCCTGGGAATCATCTGCTTTGTCTTGTTATCCACAGTGGTAACAATAGCTGTTATTACCTGTAAGTACATTTTTGAAAGATTATAAGGGAACTTTTTACTTTAATGATCGTCAGTGCCTCCAAACGTTTCATAATATTATGGATTAGAACTCTCATTTTAATGTATGGTTTTAGAGTAAATGTGGAATGGTTATTCTGAATTTGTCAAATTATAAATAACAGAATGAATATAGAAAGTCTTGCGTATGTATGTATTCTGATTTCATAACTCAAAGACATACTTGAGGAGACTGAAAGACCTTATTGAGAAATAACAAATTAGTTCTTGAAGATTGATTAAACCAAATACTATAAGAGATGGTAAGGCTTGGTCCTTTAGGCTTTGGAGATATTTTTCCCTTGGTCTTCATTACTTTATTAATGTTTTGGTAACATCTTCTAAAATTAGATTATTCTAATTCTAAACAATACACTAAATTTTAAAGTAAGAAGCTATGATTTATTTAGATATTAATTTTTATATGCATTACTTTAATTTTTATAGCTACTGTAATTCTGGAGCAAAACAATTCAACCCCGATAACAAGGAACCAGACAGGTATATACTGATTTTCAAAGTTCTAATATTAGTATAGTTTACATTTTATGTCTATCTTAAGCTAAGAAAAAATGATAATAGATTTTTTTTGTGGAAATGAATTAAAATTGAGTAATGTTCATAAATAATGATTAGAGGAGAGTATTCCTTCTTATGCAACAATATGAAGAAATTTCATTTAAAATCACCATACCCATTGTTGTGGATTGGCTCAAATTTCCTACTGATAAGAGATAAATAATTTTACTAATCTAAAATACTTCCATTTGCTGACTTGCAGGACATGTGCAGAGTGGATACTTTTCTTTGTGTGCTTGCATTCTAAATTAGTGGCATATAAATTAGGGGATGAGAGACTGGCCCTTCTCTGTAAGTGTGTATGTAAGTGTGTTTTGTTTTCTTTATGTGTACCAACGTGTGAGGATGTATAGATATGTTACGTACATATATGTTTACACCTATGCAAGTACATAATTTTCATTTTTTAGAATTCAAAAATTCAATTGCTTTGAATAACAATACATAATCTTTCTTCAGAATATCGTTGTGGTCATTGTCCAAATGAGTGGTTAACATATTCCAACAATTGCTATTACATTAGTATTGAAAGAAAAGCATGGAATGAGAGCTTGATGGCGTGTGCTTCGAAGAACTCTAACCTGCTTTATATAGATAATGAAGAAGAAATGGTAAGATTTTAAGTTGTTTCTAGTATTTTATTAAAAGCTTATTTCAGTCAATCTTATATTGTAGAATTCAGCCATGTTTTTTTACCTATCTGTAGAGTTTTATTTTAAAGCCTGTTGTTATTCCATTGTTTAACTTTATATTTTATTTATATTTTTATGTCACTAATGCACATTTGATAGTTTCCAGTTCTTGCTTTTCATAGAAAACCATGTTTCTATAAATGCTTTTTTTCCTAAATTAACTTTACTCTTTAGTTATACCATGCATCAAGGAAGCTAAACATATCATGATTGTGCAAGTTGATCACAAACTGAAAAGACCTACGTAATTACAATTCAGGTCATGAAATAGAAGTTTCCAGCCCCAGGCAGCCCGCCCCTGGGTGAACTCTCAACACTTCTGCTACCTCCTCACTTAACCACTGTTCTGGTTTTCAACATTATAAAGTATCACTGCATGTTTTTGAGATTTATATAAATGGAAGATTCAGTATGCATTCTTGTGTCTTCTTCACTCCTACCTTATATTTTTGCAATTCATCCATACTTTTGCATTTACCTGTAGTTTGTTAATTTCAGCTATGTATTGTATGGATTTGACATTTTTTAATCTATGCTACTGAGTAAAAATTTAGTTACTTTTTAAAACGGGTATTATGGATAATTTTTTATGAAAACTCTTGTGTATATCTTTTTCCACATGATGTATTAAATAATTTATATATTATATATAAATATGTCATGTAATAAATTATATTAATATAACATGATTATATTTATAAAAATATGATAATTTATAAATACTATTATATTATTATAATTGCACTTTGTATAATTATAATATAGTGTCCTCTATGCATCAGAATAAAATTGCAGGTTCATAAATATATGTGTATGTCCAATTGATTAAATTGTCAAAACATTTTCCTAGTTTTGTGTAAATACATATTTTATCCTATAGTCTCTTGATCCAAAACTTAGTACTCTCAGAAATTTTAAAGTTCTGATTGTTATATTACAGTATCATTATGACATTAGTAGACATTTTACTGATTCCTAGTGGATTGAACATATTTTTCTGGGCTCTTAACCATTAAGACATCTCTTTTGCAGTAATGGGAAGTGCCTGTTCATGTGTCTTGTCTTGTCCTTGCCTTGTCCACCATTTCTCTTACACGATGTCTGTCAATTACCTTCCTAGGAGTTCTTGTTATATTTTGGATATGTGCTCCTTTTTGAGTTTATGAGATGCAAATAAATTTTTTTGACTTTGTGACTTTGAGTTTTACTCTCATATTGGAGTCTTTTAATGACCAGAATTTATTAATGTGATCAGAGTCCAATTTTTCTTTTTTGGTGTTAGTGATTATTTTGGACCCCTTTCAGAAATTAGTCCAAGTTTGTGAATATAATCTTCTATATTACTCTCTAGGTTTTATCTTTTCTCATTATTTCTTAACTTTTACATTTGGGTCTATAATCCATTGGGAATTTATTTTTTGTGATGCTGTATTTGTGATGCATGTGAAGATGAGATGGAAGTGAAGTTTATACTTCTTTACATCATTACCTAATTGATAGAGCATAATTTATAGCAAAGATGATCTTTCTTTTCATAAATATCTTTCCTATGTTTATAAACATATATACACATATGTGCTCTAGTCTGCTTTATATGGATAATATGTATTCTATATTATATTAGTATTGATGATAATATATGTTTTATCACAGTCTGTATAGTCTGTAGTAGTCTACAGCAGTTTGAGTGAAATGGAGAATCTTACTTTCCTTTATGTCCCTTTACTATGTATATTTATAATCTTCCTATGTATTTCATTTACATATATCAAGAATTACATGGAAGAATGTTCAATATTTCTTCAACTGATAATTTTACTTCAACTATCAATTTAGAAAACACAAGAGGAGAAGGAAAGTCTATTGTATCTAATGATATTTTTATTCTTTCTTTTGTTCTCTCTTCCTTCTTGAAGATCCATTTAATTTCTGCTTAGATGATTTCTTTTATCTATTCTTTTAGACTGGGCCTGGATGATGACACATTTTCTGAGTTTCCCTTTATCTGAGAATATCTTAAATTCTCCTTCATTCCTGAGTGATATTTTCACCGAACTTTTCTATGGATTTTGGTTGGAATAAGGCAGTTAAGAGTCTAAAATGTTTCTGTTTATCTAGCCTGCCCCTTTCCTGGTCCTTTGCAGAGAGAAGTCTTTTCTTGGGATTTTTGTCCGTACCCACTGGAGTTCTAGTTTGCCTATTTCTCCAGCATCCAGCCTGGGATATCCGAGATTAAAAGAAATTCTCAGCGAGCTCACTGCAATATCACTCCTCAGGTCTCAAGTCCCATTTCCGTCAGCTTTCTCATCACTTTTCAGAATCTTCTCATGTTTGTCTTATATACAGTGTCCAGTGTTTTTAGCCGTATTTAATGGAAGGAATAGTGAAAAGTATCATCCACTCCTTCTTTCCAGAAGTACTATACAGTAAAAGTGCTACCGCTGAAAAGTACATCCGCTCCATCTTCCCAGAACAGGAGGTCCGATCTGTAGTAGTTTTGTTTGAATTTTCCTAAAACTAATAATATTGACCATCTTTTCATGTACTCATTTGCCATCTGTATTTTTTTTTTTTTTTTGGTGAACTATCCATGGAAATATTTTGCATATGTTTTGTTTTTTGTTTTGAGAGTTCTTTTACCTCCAGGAAATTACTCTTTTATCGTATGTATAATTGGCAAATATTTTCTCCAAGTCAATGATTTGTCTTTTTTTCTCTTGAAACAGCAAAAGTTTTCTAATTTTATGTGGTACTGTTCATTAATTTGTTATTTTCTGGATCACAGTTTTAGTGTTGTATCTAAGAAATCTCTGCCTAAGCCAAGGTCATGTAGATTTTTCTAATACATCTTGAGGTTTTATAGCTTACACCTTGGTTTGTGACCAATTTTGAGCTTATTTTTGCATATAGTGTGACGTATGGATAAAATTATTGTTATTACATTGCATATTGATAGCCAATCTTTTCTGCAACATTTATTGAAAACATTATACTTTCTCCACTTAATGAGTTTGCATTTTTGTTGAAATATGCATTCCATATACGTGTGGGTATAGTTTTGTACTTTCTAACAGTTTTCAAGATCTAGTCATCTGTTTTTATGCCAATTCCTTACTCTAAGCACTGTTTTTTTAATGGTAAATTTGTACTAGTTGATATCAGTTCTCCTTTTTCAAAGTTATGGTCTCTTCTAGGTCTTTGCATGGATTTTTCCTTTTTATTCCTATTTTTGTAAAGATTACTTTGCCTTTTTTGTAAAGCAAGAATGACTGTTAATCTCATCAATATGTTCTGTATCAAAGTGATGACATCATTTTTCTTTTTTACTCTGTTAATGTGATGGGTTAATTTTATGGAATTTCAAATGTAAATCCAACATGCTATTGCTTCAATAAATCTCCTTGTGTCATAGTCTATTAATTTTATATATTGCTGAAATGCTTACATCACTTTATGATTGCCAATGACATGTAATTTCTTTCTTGTGTGTATTATCATCAAAAATACGCATACATTTTATTAGCCTCCTTCATCTTGCTACAGGTGTTTTCTCTTTCCTCTACCCTACAAGAGATTTTGTAAGATTGGCATTATATTTTTCTTTACATGTATCGCTTACATCAGCATCAGTATGGTCTATGACTGAGTGTGGGAAGTTTTTGAATTACAGATAAGTTTCTAATAGAAGTTATAAGAAAATTCCTGTATTTTTGTTGCTTTTTGTTTTAGTTTTCACAAGTTGTATTTGTTAGAATTTCTTCCACTTTGTGTCCATTTCAAAATGTATTTGCATATTTTCATAATATTGTCTTATGATAATTTTATTGGGGTATAATATACATACAGGAGGATGCACATACTATCTCCCTACAGCTTACTGAATTTTCATCAAGTGTAACCATCACCCGGAATGAGAAATTGAAATTTACTTGCACTACAAAATGACCATCTCATGTTCTTTTCTTCATTAAAAAGTACCTTATATAAATGGAATCACAAAATATATATTCTTTACTTTGGGCTTTTTCAGGTGAAGCTAAATTGTGAGATTCATCCATATTGTTGGGTGAAGTTGGAAATGGTCCACACCTTCTTGGTGTTGCATTGTCTAATGATACTAGGATGTATTTATCCATTCTATTGCTGATTCTCATGGAATGTTTGGATACCGTTCCATTTGGGGTTACCAAGAGTTATTCTGCTGGACAGATTTCAGCATAAACTTTCAACTAAATATATGTTTATTATTTCTTATTTCTACAACTTTAGTTGATTCTTCTTTTAAGCTTGAGAGGAAAGCAGCTCAGATAACTCATTTACAACATTCTCCCTTTTAAATGTGAGACAACGCTATGAATTACCTCTAAGTATTAATTTAGTTCCACTGTAAATTTTCTGTATATTCTCATTTTATTATCATTTATTATAAGGTATTTTCTCATTTCACTTTTGATTTCATCTTTGAACTATACGTTTTCCAGAAGTGTATTTCTTTGCAAATGTTTGAGAATTCCCCATATATCTTTTCTGATTTCCAATTTATTGCTTTGTCTTCAGAGAATATCCTTTGAATTGTTACAATTCTTTTAAATTATTGATACTTATGTATGAACTAGAATACTTTCTATATATGCCAGCTATATCAAGCTGGTTCCTAGTGGTTTTATAGTCTTTCTGGTTTCCTGATTGGCTGTTCTATCAGCTACTGAAGGAAGAGCTTTTAAATCTCCAACAATAATTATTGAATTGTTTATTTTTCCTTTTGACTCAATAGTTTCCATTTCATTTTTTTGAGGATTCTCTGGTTAGGTGAATATATGTTTTCATTGTTTTATGTTCCTCTTATACTGATGGTTTTAACATTTTGAAATGATTCTTTTTTTTTTTTTCAAAGGTTGACACCTGAGCTAACAACTGTTCCAATATTCTTTTTCCCCCCTCCTTTTCCTCCCCAAATCCTGCCAGTACATAGTTGTATATTTTTTAGTTGTGGGTCCTTCTAGTTGAGGCATGTGGGATCCTGCCTGAGAGTTGCCTCACAAGCTATGCCATGTCCCCGCCCAGGATCCGAACCAGCGAAACCCTGGTCCACTGAAGCAGAGCGCGCGAACTTAACCACTTCGCCACGGGGCTGGCCCCTGAAATGTTTCTTTTTATTTCTAATAATATTTCTTGTTTTAACAGCTACTTTGATATTAGATTAGCTACTTCTGCTCACTTATGTGTTTTGTTTATAGGGTATATCTTTTTCCATCTTTTTACTTTTGTCTATTTGTGTGTTTGAATCTGAAGTGTGGTTGCTATAGAGGGCGTACAGATGAATCTTACTTTTTTATTCAATATGACAACATCTATCTTTTGATTGCCATGTTTATTCATTCACATTTAATATACCTATTGGTATAGTTGGATTTAAGACTGCTGTTTCACTATGTGTTCTATATCTGTGTCTCTTCTTCTTTTCTTCCACCTTTCCTGACATCTTGTGTGTTAAACACACATTATTTTAGTGTGCCATTTTAATCCCTCTATTGATAGTTTGGCTATATTTTTTAAGTTATCTTCTTAGTAATTGCTGAGGGTATTACAAATATATCTTTAGCTGATCTACTTCAAGTTAATTCTGACTAATTCCAGTAAAATACAGCAACTTAGCACCAACATAGCTCCATTTCCTTCCCCGCTCCTTTATGGTCTTAATATTACTCCTAACCATGTACTGAAGCCAGGTAGCACTGGATGGTGAACACCAATTATGCACATCCTTTCCAGCACTGCATTTATGATTTCACACTGGTGACTTGAAATGACCATTCTAGGTGTCTTTGCACCAGAGAAATGAATAAATGTTAAAAAAGTACAGTTTTCTTTCCTCCCGCTAGGTGCCTACTTACCATACAAGGTTGTATCCATATATGATAAGTACCCAACCATACAGTGTTATAATTATTGCTTAAATAACCTTATTTTTTGAAGAAATTAAGAGAAGAAAACACACATACACACACACACAAACTCTTATTTCCCTACATATTTACGATTTGTGCTGATCTTCATTCCTTCTTGTGGATATGAGTTACCATCTAGTATCTTTTACTTTTTAGCTGAAGAATATTTTGGGAAGGCAGTTCTGCTAATAAGAAATTCTCTCTGTTTCCATGTATGTTGTAAGATCCTTAGTGCACCTTTTTTGCAGGACTGTTTTGCTGAATTTAGAATTTTTGTTTGACAGAGTCTTGTTGTTTTTTTTTCCACTACTTTCACTTCTTTGAATATGTCATTCACTGCCTTCTGTCCTTCATTGTTTCTGAGGAGAACTCATCTATTAATCATGTTGTTATTTTCCATATGTAATGGGTAGTTTGTCCCCCTTGCTGATTTCAAAAACACATAGCATAAAATTTACAACAGTTTTTCATTTTCCAGAATGTCATAGAGTGGAATCATACAATATTTTACAAATTATCTGTGACATTTTAACTATATCATACATCTTAACCATTTTTTTAAATTAGGAGAATCTTTCTTTTATTGTATAAGTTTCAGATGTGCAACCTTATAATTCTACATCTGTATACACTACAAAGAGATCAAGTGTACAATTTATCAGTGTTGACTATATTTGCATTGTCATGCAACAGATATCTAGAAATTTTTCAACTTCCAAAATTGAAACTCTATAGCCAATAAATTCCCTCATCCCCCTAAACATGCAACCTTTGGCAATTGCCATTCTACTTTCTGATTTTATGAGTTTCCCTACTTTAGAAACCTAATGTAAGTGGAATCATGCACTTTTTTGTGACTGGCTTATTTCCCTTAGCATATTGAATGAGTTTCATCCATGTTGTAGCATGTGACAGGATTTCCTTCCTTTTTAAGACTGAATAATGTCATATTGTTTGTATATACCACATTTTCTTTTCCATTCATCCACCAATGGACATTTGGGTTGCTTTTACCACTTGGCTATCTTGAACATCGAACATTCTTGACTGCTATGAACATAGATGTATAAATATCTCTTCAAGATCTTTTTTTCAATTCTTTTGGATCTATTTCCACATATATCAGTGGGATTGTTGATTCATGTAGTAATTCTGTTATTCATTTTTTGAGGAACCTCCATACTGTTTTCCATAATGGATGGCCAATTTACATTCCCACCAACAGTGTACAAGAGTTGTTTTTCTCTCCACATCCTTTCCAACACTTGTTATTTTTTTTTTTGATAGTAGCCTTTCTAATGGGTTAGAGGTGATATCTCATTGAGGTCTCGATTTGCATTTCTTTAATAATTAGAGATATTGAGCATCGTTTCATATGCTTGTTGGCCATTGGATATCTTCCTGGGAAAGGTGTTTATTCAATTCCTTTGCCCATTTTTAAATTAGGTTACTTGTTCTTTATTGTTGCTGTTGAATTGTAGGAGGTTTTTTTTTTATATATATTTTGGATATTTACCCCTTATCAGATATCAGTTGCAGATATTTTCTCTTATTCTGTACCTTGTGCCATTTAATGCACAAAATATTTTAGTTTGATGTAGTACCGTTTGTCTGTTTTTGCTTTTGTTGCCTGTACTTTTGGTGTCATTTTGAAGAAATCACTGCCAAATCCAATGTCATTAACTTTCCCTCTATGGTTTTTTCTAGGTGTTTTAGGTCTTATGTTAGGTCTTTAATACTTTTTGAGTTAACTTTTGTATGTGGTGTAATGTAAGTATCCAAAATCATTCTTTGAATGTGAAGAGCCAGTTTTCCCAACATGTCTGTGGAGGACATTGTCCTTTTCCCATGAAATGGTCTTGACATCCTTGCCAAAAATCATTAGACCGAATATACGTGGGTTTATTTCTGAAAATATTGTTAAATTGTTTTCATGGGGGAACAAGAGACTGAGGCTTCTTATTCTTCCATTTTGCTAATGTCATCCCCCTCCATACTGGAATAGCATCCATGACAAATGTGAACATAATGTGGTCTAAGTGTTGCTGGAGGTGGGAGACATCTCACCCATTCCCTGATTTTCGCACTGACTCAAGTCACCTAATAATCCTATCTATTCCATCAAGATTATTTCTTTGTCTTTGTCTTCAAGTGTTCTTCACTCATTTGTTATGATGTTTTCAGATATGGATTTCAATGTGTTCAACATGTTAGTATTTGCTGGACTCCTTGGGTCTATCAATATTTTTGAAATATAAATTAAGAAGTTGTTCATTCATTGTGGCTTAAAATTTTTTTGCTGTCCCTTGCTGTCTCTCTTCTTCTCAAACTATATTTATGCCTATCTTGGTTTTCTTGATACTGTCTCAAAGGTCTCTGAGCTGTGTTAATTTTTCTCTCTTTTTCCTCTTGGAAAAATAATTTCTATTATTCCATCCTCAATTTCATCACTTCTTTCTTCTGCATCTCAAATTTTCTGTAGATTCAATTTGATGAATTTTTCATTTCACGTAATATGTTTGTCAACACAAAATTTCTAATCAATTGTTTTATAAAATTTTTATTTCTCTATTGATATTTTCTACTTGTTTTGTCACTACCATCATATTTTCATTAGGTTATTTGAACATAGTTTACTTTATAATTTGCGTATGTCTATAATAATTAATATTTTTCTAATACATCTAACATTTAATCTTGGTAAAAGATTCTATTGTCTGACTTTTTCCCTGAATATGGAAGACATTTTCTAGTTTCTTTGCAAGTTTTCTTCTTTTTTAAGTAGACACTTTATAATATAGTGTGGTAAACATGGATTCCATTTCATGTTTCTTAGATTTATTACCTTTTAGAACATGCATAAACTTTTCTCCAGAATCTTTTCCTCTGAAGTGTGCCTGTGATAGTTCTGCCCAGTTTTTTCAAATTCTTATTGTTTATTTTTTAGCTTGACTTCCTAGGAATTACCCTTGTGATTGCATTGCTTAGTTGTCAACCAGTAATTCTTGTAAACGGTTGTATTCAAATATTGCAAGTCAGTAGGGCTTCCACTGTCTACCATTTGTCTACGTGTGTGTGTGTGTGTGTGTGTGTGTGTTTTGGGGAATGCTTATAACTTTGTAATTAGTTCTCACATCTACTTTGGTTTTTACTTGTTACGAGGATCATCTTGGTCTCTTCTACAGATCTGCATGTTTTTTTCCATCAGTCAAGGATGTGTAGACCTAACGTCATCTCTTCTATTGTACCTTCATTTTTAGTACCTTGCCATTATATTTATGGTTGGCACTATGCTTGACACAAAGGACACCATAACCTTGAACTAGAAAAAGTACATATTTTCTTCATTAGTTACCTAGAAAATTCAGCACTTTGAAATGAAAAAGTAGTGGACTGTTTAGTGACCCATTCTTCTCTCCTAATCAAATCTACACCTTTGGCAACTACGGCATTGTTTTTGCAGCCTTCCTCAAATTGTAAATACTACAATTCTTTTGCTCAGTGAGATGGGGTGTGGATGAGGGTAGACATTGGAGCAGTACTAGACCAGAAGACTACAAATTTGCTCTATTTTTTTCCACTTCACAAATTATTGTTTGTCTTTGATCAATTCTCAGAGCCTTGAAATTGTGTCATTGTCAGTTTGTCCTCTTCACTTAGTCATACTAATACATTTACCTAATTGTCCAATATGTAACATATTGTAAATTGAGAGACTCTCTAAAGTAAAAAAATAAATAACTTTGTTTGTTATTACCAAATTTAAATTAGTATAAAAATTTATTTGAATTCTAATAAAATTTCTTTTCTATAGAATTTTCTGAACTCCTTCTATGTTTTTTCATGGATTGGACTCTGTCACAGCACCAGTAATAATGCATGGGTGTGGCCAAATGGCTCAACTATCTCTTCCAAACTGTAAGTTTCTTGAGAAATTTTATATTTTATTCCTTAAAGGGATTAATCTTAGAAAGAAAAAGGAAGCAATATATGAAGAATTATATAAAAACAGTTCTTTAAACTTTTCCATAGAAAAAATACATGGGAAATATTCAGAATTAGATATATAACTATTAGTCTAAATATAATATTTATTCATCAAAATATCGTTATATTTTACTAAGATAAATGATATCTGTGTATTTCAGGTTCCCAGTATCTTCAGGGAGGGATAAGAATTGTGCGTTCTTGGATTTTCCAGAAAACAAACTTTCTCCTGCATCTTGTTTAGAAACAAAAATATATGTTTGTAAGCACCAGGCACTTTAGCTTAACTAAATTTGGTGTAATGTTACTGTCACCATCTGTAAAGAATATATTTGTAGTTTCTTGAAAAGCCATACAATTATTTTCTTAGAATTTTTTTAACATATTGTTTTTTAGAGTAGCGTTAAGTTCACAACAAAATCAAGAGAAATGTACAGAGATTTCCCATATGCCCCTTGTCCCTGAACATGTACAGCCTCCCCTATTCTCAACATCACTCACCAGAATGGTATATTTGTTACCAAGGATGAATCCACATTGATGTATCATAATCACCTTAAGTCCATAGTTTGCCTGGGGCTTCACTCTTGTTGTTGTAGAATTATTTTTAAATCTTTATTTATATTATTTTTAAATATATACCCAGGTACATATTATATGTTTCTTAAACTTTTACTATTTACTAAAATAATCATATATAAATGACAAAACCTAAAATCAAGAACTGTTACTCCTAAGTCTCAATGAGGTGAGTAATTCCACTCATATTTTCAAATTAATTCATTTGTCCTAGACCTTGAAATTGTTCAAAATGAGAATTCAAGAGCCTGGAATGGTAAGGTGTATGAGTCAGAGTCAACTCAAGAGACGGAAACTAGGGGAGGCCTGATGTAAAACATTATTAACTGTTTCTAGAGGATAGCCTAGGAAGAGGGGATAATAGAAAATTACAAAGAATACCTTAGGGTTAAAGGAGAGCCCCCAAGGAAGGAATCTACTTTGTAGCCAGGTCTACTGCTTAAGGATGGGTTTTGGATATCATTGAAGACAGTGTGGCTGCAGACAACTTCATGGCAGACATGTTCACTGGATTGCCCTGGGACAGATTGATTCCTCAGTTGGTAGGCTGAAATTGGTGAGGATGGATCTCAGGCTGTGACTGGCAACAAGGAAGACCTCCCTGCCAGTGTTAGCAGGCAGAGGGTAGAGCACAGGGAACTATAAATAGGAATGGACCTAAAAACTTTCTGGAGAGTGAATACCACAGCCACATAGTAGCCAAAGGAGAGAGAACACCATGAAACCAGGAAGAAGAGCCTGTGTCCTGCAGTGCCTGTCCAGTGCCTTTTACTACACAACTTAACATCATGCGCTCTGACAAGGGAGAAAAGTTTATAGGATCTAGCTACCTTATCTCAGAACAGGGTTTGAAGGATAGATTTGGAGGTGAGAGTAATAAATTGTTAACTGGCAGTCAAAGGTATATGCAATAACCACAAGGTTGTTGTACAAGAGTCATTTGGGTGTGCCCCACTTCCTCAAGGAATGAAACCAACCTGTGTCTTTTGAATTTGTTTTAGTGCAGCATGATCAATGGTTAGATTTAATTTTGGTGGAGGTTGGCATTTTCATGGGGTAATAAACAGTGTCCTTTGTTATTTTTTACATGTCTGTTCTTTTCCTCTACTGGATTTCAGATATTTTAGGACACATCTTGTTTTACTAAATTTTCTATCTTTCCCCTTCTGTCACTCTTTATTATCATGATTAGAAAATACTTTGATGGAAAACATAAAATGTTAATCAAGAAAACATTAAATAAGTTGATAAAAATCTTTGTATGGGTCAAGCAACTGGTTATTGACAGAATTCGAGATAAACTTTTGTAAGTTGACAAAAACTCAGAAATATTTCCACCATAATTAATTTATAAGAGGGAGAAAGCTTACACATTACTATTTAGAAAATAAATTAATACATCATACACATTTATCTCTTTGATTATGTATATGTTCTTTATATTCTCTATATTTATTCTTTGTATTCATGTAGAGAAAATACATGAATATTAAAAATTAATTTCATGTAATATGTAAGTGGTAGATGTAACTAAATGCTAAAGTTGTGTTACAAAAACCCAAGCTGGCGTTGACATTTAAAAATAAGCATTTATTTCTCATTCACCCATTTGTGGTTTGGCTGGGTTTCAGTTCGTGTAGGCTGGGCATATGTGGGTTTGGCTTTAAATCACACATTCAGCTCAGATCTTCTTTCTATATTTTATCCTCAAAACAGTGGGTTACTTGTTACATGACCTTATGTAGCAGAGATTAGCAGCTCTCAGAGGGGCAAGCAGAAATGTGCTGCTTAATACTTGAGCTCAGAACTCATAAGCTGTCATTTCCCATTCACATTACATTGTCAAAAGAAGTCACATGGCCAACTTATTAATTATCTGTAAAGTATACACTTCTATTGCAGTCAAAAGGAGGAAATATAGATTCACTGATAAATAAGCTAATCTACCGTAATAGCCATAGGAATATTTGTCTCATTATATTTCATGAGGCAAGTTTATTCCTAAAATAAAAATATTGAAAAATAGAAAAAAAATTAGTACTTTTTTGACTTCCCATCTAGATTTTTGTTTCCTCTCTGCCAAAAATTCTGGTCAAGTAGTTTTGTATAGTGCTAAAGATCATCATATAGATGCTTTCACCAAGGTCCTTGATCCATGTACAAATGGGGAGTAAGCAATATGGTGTAAAGATTAGGACACAGGCAACGAAACCAGATCACTTGAGTGTAAATTCTACACGCACCCTATTAGCCCTGTGACTTCGTTACATAAATGTTCTGGCTCAGTTTCTTCTCTTGTGAAATAAGATAGAAATAATTTCTTATTTATAATGTTACTTGAAGAACATTTGAAAAGCACTTGAAAAATGCCTCCGGGCACATAAGTATTCACTAAATACCAGTTCTTTTTACTTAAAAACTTCATGCTTCAGTTCCGTTACCCGTGACTTGATGACCATAATTGTAGCCACCAAATAGGGCTGTTCTTAGGAATAAATAACTTAATGCTTAAAGAGCCTTAAAATAAAGCCTAACCCTATTAAGTGTTTGCTATATGTGATCTTTCCACATTTTCTTCCTTAACTATTCAATGAAGTCTGATTTCCAAGAGGATCCAAGTTCTAAAACTTTGTCTTCCTTCTCTCACCTATGAGAATCTCTATTGTTCCCATAATCAGGTTTTAGCCAGGCATCAAAAATACATCTCATTCAACCAATTCAATTATATATATCAAACATATTTTTATTTTAGTGTAGACTTTTAACAAATTTAATACATGTCATATGTAAACATTAACAAGAGTAATTTTTTACTGGACATGTATTCTCATTATTGAAATCAAGTTTCAATTGCGGTTCTTTTTCTTATTGGTCAAGAACCCCAGGCTCCTCCTCAATGTGTTCTTTTTGTACATATGGAAAAGCTGTCTTTTTTTCAATTGGAGAAATTTTAAAAGGAATTGTCAAATTTTGGCAAGACAGCCTTTAATGCTTCCTAGATTTGAGACCAAGTGAAAGGCCTCAAAAAGGTGCCTAAACTTTTGTATCTGTATGTAATAAGCAACGGGAATTACTTGGTAGAGAGAGTTTAGGTCATACCTCCCAAAACCACCTGATATACATGTATATATATGGAACAATATTAGGGGGATGCTAAACAAAGGTGAATTTAGAATACCACAGTCACAAAAATGTCAGCGATATGAAGGGGACAATGGTAGTTTTTTTGTGTCTAACTTTGTGAGAATGTACTATCTTCAGTGTGGAGAATAACAGGCTTGGTGTTCTGGACTCCAGAGTTAAACAGTATCATTTTAGTACTAATGTCAAGGAAAGATGGTCCTTTTTTAAAATTTACTATATGTTGGAGCAGAACAAAATGTGTGTTCTTTGCAGGCAGCCAGTTCCAAAGAGAATGAAGGAAGGATTGGATTGTGTATGTCCAATCTTCTGTTCCAAATTTGCTAATCTAAAAATTCTATTTTCTGGTCATTAATGAGTGTAAAGTTATGGGTAAAATAACATTATCATTTAATAAGTGTCATTCCGCTCTAAATTTTATGAGTCTCCTCCCTAAATTACAACCATTGTTCTCTGCACTTCCTCCTAAGACAACATGTAAAAATTTAGGTTCTGGCCTCACAAAGGCTCTGAGTTGGATAAAAACCATGCACTAGTTAAGTGAGCCTAATGTCTTTCTGTATGCCAAGTTTATATTTTTCTGCTCTATTTCACCTGTTCCAAATTATATATGTCAATGTTATCCAATATTCCCTGTTAGAGATTCTGGAAAAAAATTCAATAACAACATAAAGGTACTACAATAGTAAAATGCATAAATATGTACACATAAATAAATGCCAGGAACAGAGAGGAACTTCAAAGTTTAATAAGCACGGTAGAGATCGTGATGTTCCCAGAGGTAAAACAATTAAAGATCTCTTTCAAATTAAGGTAAAAAGACAGTTGATTCTAAAAGAATTTGTCTTCTGCTTCTGATAGGGCTAAATAAGATCCTGCTGGACTCTACTACTGATAACATGTATAAAGTCTGAACAAAGCACATACACATAAACACACACACACACATACAAACATCAGCCTGAAGATTGTGGCGGGTGGGAGGCAAAGAATTTGGGAAAACAGTTCAGACTTGGACAAAGGAAATGTCACAGAGAGTTACCTGTTTTTACCACTTTTAGCCTGAAGGCAGACCAAATTCAACTGCATTTAGTTTGGCTAAAATTCCAACAAAACCTTGCAGTCTTTCCTATCTAAAAAAACGGAGGATAGAATTGAAGACAGCGACAGCCACTGGAAAATAATATGGAATCCCAGAGAGGAGATAGGCAGAGAGTGGGAAGAAAAAATTTGGTGTATTACCTCTGCCCCAAATCCAGTTTGACACCAAAAGAATCCTTGGGTGAAAAAGACTGAACCTAAGGATAAATTAGAGAATTCAAATGAGATTTGAGCTGCCAGCCAAGAGATAATTTTCAGGACTAGTCCAGCTAATTTAATTGCCTCCTAAAAAATAACATCAGCACTCTTCAGAAAAATGTAACTGAATCCAGATCCTTGCAAGAAGTTCAACGTTTAAAGTAACTGAACATATAAAAAACAGAAAAATGTGATCTGTTTCAAGAGAAATGGAAACTCCCCTGTGTCTTCCTGATACTGTCTTTTCAGAGCTTTTGAATTTTCTAGTCTTCGTTAGCAATTATTTCAGAGATGTTATATGTGTGTACATGTATTATTTGTAAATATATATATTTGTAAATGCATATGTTTATTATATATTTAGTATATTTCTTAGATGTTTATATATATAAAATATATTTTTTTACTTTTTTATATTCTTCTAGCATTTTATTTACTCCATCTGCCTATTCAATTTAATCAGGCTAGCTGAATTTGTAACTGTTATATTCAATTTAATGGCTGTGGATTATTGATGTTCCTGGTGAAAGGGTTATATAGCTTCACCCTGTTGAATTCAAATCGGACACTTCTGAGATGAAACACTAAGAGGTAGTTCATGGCTCTCTGTAGCTTTTTTCTCTCTGACACAAAGACCTGCAACGTTCCATACAGAGGCTGCTCCATAAAACTTTTTCCGAGAGTGAGGGTGATGTGGGTGAGGGGTTCTACAGCATAAGTAAAAATAAAGCTCTCTTGCTGCAGATATAAAGTTTTGTTTTTGCAAACCTCCAATATTTTGGCATTGTTACTGCAGGGTAACCTTACCTATCTTGATGGATATAAAGGTTTGGGGTGCTTTATTTGCTTTGTATTTCCTTTTGATTCCTGGCAAAGACAATTGTGTTTCCGTAATTGAACTTCTCAATAGCTTTCTATGCAGTCATTTTTACTTTACTAGAGTATTCCCTATACATATATATGTATATATATCACAAAGGACCTCCATATGCTTTTTAGAGACAATGGCATAGATATGTTGGGAAAACATTATAATACAGGCACTTTTTGGCTATTTAAATATCAGCATAAAAATAAATTAATTAACTTTTTTCTGTTTAAATATATTATTAGATCAAGATGAACAGATTTAGCACATATGGCAATTTCACTTCCTGTGGCAAATCCATTGAAATCATAAGAAAAAATAGTTAAAAATAACCAATCGTTTGTATGTGTGAGGAAGATTGATGCTGGAGTAACATCTGTTGTCAATCTTCCTCTTTTTACTTGAGGAAGATGGTCCCTGAGCTAACATCCGTGTCAACCTTCTTCCATTATGTATATATGACCCCACCACAGCATGAGTTGATGAGAAGTGTGTAGGTCCATACCCAGGATCTGAATCTGTGAACCCCAGGTTGCAAAAGCAGAGCTTGTGAACTTACCCACTGTAAAACTGGGCCAGTCCCCCCAAAATAACCAATTCTTCTTACTAGAACTCGAAAACAATATCAAATGAACACAGAAAAGAATTTTGTGAAATTATTTGACATGATAAAACAAATGCAATGGGATTCACAGAAAATTAAGTTAAACTAGAATAAATCAAATTAAATTACAATCAAAATTAAATTAAAAATTAAACTTTCAGTTGAACCTTTTAAAGGAAAATATAACAAATAAAACAGAAATAAGAGATACAAGATCAGCTTAAAGGTAACAAGTAATAAAAATATTTGGATGCTTGAGACCATTGTCAGATCAAGAAATTAAAGACATTAATTAAATTATTTTATTTGCTTTAAAGATGATCTAGGCTATGTGGCCTCTTTGAACCTTGAAAAATTAAAAAGCAATAGATTTTTCCC